TGATGGATAAATTCGAGCAGCAGGTTCAGAATCTGGATGTTCACACATCAGTAAGTGCTGGTGGCCTCTGGAGGGTCCGGGAGGGCTGGGGGCTGCAGGGTTTGGGAGAGTGGGCTCGTCTCTGAACTGTGGGTCCCAGCTGTAACTGAGGCTTCCACAGCAGCTCCCTGTTTCCCCTTGGGGACTCCAGCCTCTGGTGTGGGAACCCCCCTGAGCTGAAAAACACGGGGAAAGACCCATCTATGCTGCTTGACAGGGGAGGAGTTGCTGTGCAGAGAGGCAAATGTGGCACGACAAGGGATGTGGCTGTCCCAGTGTCAGTTGCTCGGAGGGGGTCTGTGGTAGAACCAGACTCTGAGAAATCGTCTCTAGATAAAAACTTCAGCTCAGGGTAGACACAGCGGTGAAGCAGCTATTTATTAATGTCTGTGCAGAAACGGGTGTCCTGGCAAGTAGGCACACACAGCAAAATCAGAGCTATGATTTATGTTTCCTGTCCTGTCTGCAGGTTCCCTCCCTTGTTTCCCCACTGGCTGGTTACTCCAAGGTTTACAGCCTCTCTGACATGTATAATCTACATGCCAAATGTCCTGCCTCTGGTTACACCTCCCCTTACTTGATTTCATACTCCCCTTCCTCTTATTTATTTATCTCCTTTTATGGTTTGATTTCATAACTCTCTGGCAGACATGCAGTACCCCAACTTACTGTTTAACTACAGAACCAGCCTGCACCGGCTTAGCTTCATACGTTGTACAAAGACTGTATTCTTTTTAACCACAGAGTGTATCTTTCCTCTAGAGATGATATTGTCTTTAACCACAGAGTGTGTCTTTTTAAGTTACGATATTTCAAACCCTTTGTTTTGTTACCTTAATAGCTTAGCCCCAGCCCCAGTATTGAAAAGTCTTAATATTGCAATGTTTTAATACTGATTTTAAAACTCTATTATTCTAAAGCCTTAATATTGCGAAGCCTTATCCCCAGTTGTGCAAGAACAACACTGGTTCTCTCACCCAGACCTTGCACCCCTCTGTCGTGCTGTCAGCATGAGGCTGTTCTGGCTGAGGGGACTGGTTGCAGTACACGATCTGCAGCAGGATTTTTGGCAGAAGCAGCCAGGTTGGGCCAGGCAGCTCTTCCTGTGAGTCAGGGTGACAATCTGTGTCTGTCACAGGTCATGGAGGACTCCATGAGCTCAGCCACCACACTGACCACGCCACAGGAGCAGGTAGACAGCCTCATCGTCCAGATTGCGGAGGAGAACGGGCTGGAGATCATGGACCAGCTCAACCAGCTCCCTGAGGGTGCTTCTGCGGTGGGGGAGAGCTCAGTGCGCTCCCAGGAAGACCAACTGTCACGGAGGTTTGTGCTTCCCAGGTCTCTGCCTTGTTCGAGGCAGTTTGAGTCCTCCCAGGGACAACCCAGCAGTGGGAAGGGGATGAGTTAGACCATTGTGGCATGCTGGGAGGATGCTGAGCCCGCTGCTCTGGTGCTTGGGCAGTCCCCATGATACCCTATGCAGGGAGGTGAGGTGGCTGTTTGGGTCCATGGGGCCCCTTTGTGTGCCTGGACAGGGTGTCTTTTGGCACTCAGCAGTAAGCCCTCCTCGTGGGGTGCAGAACAGTCTCCCCCTGCTCCGTGCTCACCCTCACGCAGCTGCCGGTGCTCTGAAACGCTTGGCTCTGACCTTCAAACAGCTCCAGGAACAAGCTGTCTCCCTGGAACTGCCCCAGGAGATGCTGATGAGCTTCCTTTCCCCACTCAGCCCCCACTGGGTCCATCTGGGGACAGCCCTGAGGCTGTGCTCCCCTGGGAGCTGAGAACGGCTCTGGGACAGGCACTGGGCCAGCAGCGAGGTGCTCAGAAGAGAAACCAGGAGCCCCTTCTCCTCAGGGCCTTGCCTGTGTTGGTGACACACTCCAGGTTAACCCCAGGCAGCCGTGGCTGTGTGATCCAAGCAGTCCATGTTAATTCAGGGCAGAATTTCTCACACCTCTGCCGCAGAGCAGGAGGTTTCTGGGCAGAGATGTCCCCTGCAGTCACGGATGAAGGGTTTTCCTGAGTCACAGCTGCTCTCATGTTCCTTCCTTCTCGTGCTCTCCTTCCAGGTTGGCTGCCTTGCGGAATTAAGGTCTCCTGTCCCCCTTCTGGACTGCTGCCCCTGCTGGGATGGTGTGGGGCCGATGGGCCCAGGACTCCTTCCCCACAGCCGCTGCCATCCCCTGCTCCAGCCCTGCCTGCGCTTGGACACTCTGCTTTAGGGCTGTGGTGGTGATGGCTTTTCCCAGAACCAGCAGTGATCTTGGCAGGGGTTCTGCAGCAGAGGTGGCCTCTCCGGGCTGGAGGAATGCTTCACTGGGTCTGATTTCAGGGTGTTTTCCATTGGAGGGCTGCTGCCGGTTTCTGGCGGTGTCTCATGGTGCAGTGTCACGCTCCTGATTTAACACTAAAAAGAATCCTTCTGGAGGCAGGTCGCAGTGTGTTTTGGGGTGCTGCTTGCCTCACTCGCCTCTATGTGTGTGCAGCACACTTGTGTTGTTCTCCTTGGGGCCCGCAGTAAGGAGCTGTTTACAAGGAGCAGGGGGATCCCACTGCACCGCCTTCCCCTCGCAGTGGTTTGGGAAGGGTGTTTCTCCCAGCCGTGGGGTTTCTGGGAAGCCAGTGCCTTGCAGGAAAGGGAGGTTTCTCCGTGGCATCTCTTCCCTTACAGTAACCTTCCCGAGCCATAGCTGAGTGCCCTCTGTTGCAGGCTTCACCTTGCCAATTGCTGGCTCCTTGTCCTCCCAGGCCAATCCTCCCTGGAGCTCCTTACCACAAAGTGACCTTTGAAATGCTCGTCCTGCCCTGCACAAGTATGCGTGTGTGTGAGTCTGCAGCTCCCCCATCTCCACCCGCTCTGGTCTGGAAATGGTTATCCAAGCCCTGGCCTCCCATGTGGAGCAATTCCTGCTCCGTGCTCAACAGTTGGGAGTGGATTGCAGCAGCTCACAGCGCTGGTGGCCGCAGCCCTGTTCCCACATGTCCCCCCAGCCGGATGGGTGTGACGGTAAATGCTAAACCATACCCAGAGCGTGTCTGGCTGCAGCTCGTCCCCTGAGTGTCTGCTGCCATTCCTCCTCTGCTGTCCCCTCCTTGCTGCTGCTGCCTGTAGAACAGCACTGAGATGGGGGAGAGGGGGGCTGCCTCCCCTGGCCCCTCTCCTCCATCTCATGGCAAACGTGGCTGCTCATCCCTCGGAGCCTTCTTCCTACACTGAAGTGTTCTGTGCCCCTTCTCTGTGGCTCCCAGGCACCGTGAGGTGCTGGGCTGATGCCGGGAAGGAAATGCAGTTTCCTTTGGCTCTTGGGAGGAGGAACTTTTAACTTGCTGCAGGCTGTAAATGGAGGCTGTGCAGTGGCTGGGTCCTGTGTGGTGCAGGGCAGGCAGCTGGTCCCACTGCAGTGGGGTGGCTCTGATGCATCACTTCCAAAGGGAACTTTAAGGTGTGCTGAGAGGGAAGTGAGGGGAGCAGCTCCCAGTGCTGCTGACGTTCACAGGCACCTAGGCTGTGTGTGCAGGCGTGGCGCAGGGCTGGCTGTGGACAGGGGCTGTGTCCCAGCACTTAACAACACAAACACTTCTCACTGTTTTTCTTATTTCCTCTGAATTCAATGGCCTTAGTGTGGGTCTGGTTACTGACAGAGCCTTCCTCCCCACCCTGTGCTGTGGTGGGGCGAGGGGAGGTGACTCTGGAGGTGGCTTTGGACTCCAAGTCACTTGTGCAGGGTGAAGTGTCACCTCCCAGTGAGCTGGGCAGCAAGCAGAGTTATCCCCCTGCACAGGGGACACCCGTGGGCCCAGGGAGCCACTGCCCTAAGGAGCTCCCTCTGTCAGGGTGATGTTTGTTTGTGCTTTCGTTTGTGTGTTTTGTTGGTTTTGGTTTTTTTAAGCTTGTCTCATTCGCTGCCTTCTTCTCCAAACCCCTGTTGATTCCCATCTGCTATCTCAAATAAACAACCCCTGACCATCCATCATGCTGTGCCTGGGTGTTCAGATGTGAAAGTGCATCCATGGTCCCCTTGCTGTGGCACAGTCTGATGGCTGTGACCTGTCCCCTGCCTGGGATAGAGACCAAGGGGCTGCTGTGGAGCTGGGGTGAGCAGGAGGGATCCAGTCGTGCTCTTGCAGCTTCCTGCCTCCTCTTCCCCAGGGAAAGGGGATCAGTCACCACAGAGCCATAGCTCCCCACTGCTGGGGTCTTGTGCTGACCCTGAACTGGGGGGGGATTGGGGTGAGCAGGAGTTATCACAGCCCCAGTGCCACCATCACCATCTGGGGAGGCTGGGGCAGCTGCTGGAGATGGGCTCCTTACCTCCAGCGAAGCCCTGTGCCATTCTCCACACCTTTCCCAGTCCTTGGTTGAAGGCCGGGCTCCATGAGGGGCAGATCCTCACCCCATATCCCCACTGTGGGAGCCCAGTGCCTTACACCCTGGTGCTGCCCCCGGCACCCACTGACAGCAGCTTCACCCCCGTGCTGGGGGCCGTGTCCCGCTGCCGGAGCTGTCCTGGGCACATCCCATCCCGGTGCTGGGCTGGCAGACGGGGCTCTGTGCCGCAGCCAATCTGTGAATGCCACAGGAAGATGGCTCTCCTTCCCCTGCCTGTTTTCCCGGTGCCCAGAGCCGCCTCCGCACCGCACCGCAGACAGGCTGTTCCCGAATGTGACAGGAAATAGCTAAGGAGATAATTGAGTAGCCAATTAATTAGCTAATGATGAATGTAAGCGTCCTGCGGAGGCAGCCCTACAGCCACTCTGACCGTGTGTTGCAGCAATGTGTCACTCCCGGTGTGGTTACAGCTTCGTGGTGTGTGCCCATGGGCCCGGACCGTGCAGCCAGGGTGGCTGGTGACATCCTAGTGTGGTCAGGGATGTGCTAGGTGGCTCATCACCTCCAGCACAGCAGGGATATGGGGCTGGTGGTTCCTGTAGGGTCCTGGCACAGGCACACGGTGCCAGCGGTGCTTGAAACATGTCTTTATTTCCCTTGTGGTGCTGGTACAGGAGGGAAGGGGCACAGGAATGTGCCCAGGCCAGCAGCCACAGGGCAGGTACCAGCATCCTGCTGGGCAGGGTGCTGGAGCTGTGATGGGAGCCAGTGCTAGGACAGCAGGGAGTGGAGCAGTGCCAGCACCAGCACCAGGGCTGCCAGCGGGAGCCGGGCTGTGCCTGCGCTGTTGGCGTAGCCATAGCGGGTCCTGCACGTCCCCTCCAGCTCCTCGAAGGCGATGGGTGTCTCGTGGGCAGCCGTGCTCTGCAGGTTTGCCTTCACCTGCAATGGGGACAGGGTGGGCTCCCGCAGCGAGGTGCAGTCCCTGTGCCCCACACAGCCCCTGTCACCTTGAACATCCTGAGTGTCCCTGTGCTCCTATTCATCCACTGCCCTGTGTCCCTGCGCCACCCTGTGTCACCATACAGCCCATGGTGCTGTACATCCTCATGTCCTACTTGTCTCTGCTGCCCCATGTGCCCCCATGCCCCATGTGTTCCCATGCTCTATGTGTCCCCATGCCCCATGTGCCCCCATGCCCCATGTGTCCCCATGCCCCATGTGTTCCCATGCTCTATGTGTTCCCATGCCCCATGTGTTCCCATGCTCTATGTGTCCCCATGTCCCATGTGTTCCCATGCTCTATGTGTCCCCATGCCCCATGTGCCCCCATGCCCCATGTGTCCCCATGCCCCATGTGCCCCCATGCCCCATGTGTTCCCATGCTCTATGTGCCCCCATGCCCCATGTGTTCCCATGCTCTATGTGTTCCCATGCTCTATGTGTTCCCATGCTCTATGTGTTCCCATGCCCCATGTGTTCCCATGCTCTATGTGTCCCCATGCTCTATGTGTTCCCATGCTGTATGTGTCCCCATGCCCCATGTGCCCCCATGCCCCGTGTGTCCCCATGCCCCATGTGCCCCCATGCCCCATGTGTCCCCATGCCCCATGTGCCCCCATGCCCCATGTGTCCCCATGCTCTATGTGTTCCCATGCTCTATGTGTCCCCATGCCCCATGTGCCCCCATGCCCCGTGTGTCCCCATGCCCCATGTGTTCCCATGCCCCATGTGTCCCCATGCCCCATGTGCCCCCATGCCCCATGTGTCCCCATGCCCCATGTGTCCCCATGCTCTATGTGCCCCCATGCCCCACGTGCCCCCATGCCCCATGTGTCCCCATGCCCCATGTGCCCCCATGCCCCGTGTGTCCCCATGTCCTGTACATCCCCATGCCCTGCTCACCTCCTCCACCTTCTTGAATACACGGAGCAGGTTCTCGGCCAGGGCCGCCTTCAGCTCCTCCTCCGTCCAGTTCCTCGCCAGCAGCTCGGCCACCAGTGCAGGGTACGTGGACACATCCTCCAAGCCGCTGGGGAGCCTGCGCCACCCGCAGCTGTGCCGGGGCAGCCGCCTCCCGCACCCCAAAGCAGGGCACGGGGAGATACCCCCTGGCACGTCCCCATCCCACCGGCACAGCACCCATCACCCGCCTCACCCTGAGACCCCGTCGTAGTCACCACCGAAGCCGACGGACTGGGCACCGGCCACCTTCTTGATGTGGTCCATGTGGTCTGCGGGTGCCGAGGGGACAGGGTGAGCAGGGAGAGGGGGCACCCTGACACCCTCACCACGGGCACCCTCCTCACCTGCGACATCCTCCAGCGTGGCCGTGTCCGCGCATGTCACGTACGCGCTGTAGAAGTTGACCATCACCAGGCTGCCTGTGGAGGCCTGGGGGAGAGGTGGCCCTGAGCCTGGCTTCCCCAGTGCTGTCCCCATCCCTGCCCATGGCCGGGCCCCAGCGCTCACCACCATCCTCAGCACCTCGTCGGGCACGTTGCGGCGGTGCTGGCAGAGGCTGTATGCGGATGAGTGGCTGAAGATGACGGGGGCTTTGGAGAGGTTCAGCACAACCTTCATCGTCTCCACTGAGACGTGGGCCAGGTCCACGATCATGCCCAGGCGGTTCATCTCCTCCAGCACCGTCTGCGGGGATGGGGCGGGTGAGGGTCACTGTGCACCCAGGGCACTGCTGCTTGGCTTAATGCCGCAGCATCGGGCTGGTTGGTACCACCGCCATGGCACCGTGCCACTGCTCACAGGTCCCGCTGCTGACGCTGTCTCCGCTCACCTTCCCGAAGGACGACAGGCCGTGGTGCAGGGCTGAGTCATCCCCAGTGTCCACCAGCCAGTTGTCAGCCCTGCGGAGCAGGGACAGCATCAGCGCAGACCCCAGGACAAGTGTCCCTGTGCCCCCACATTGGCTCTGTCCCCCCATCCCTGTCCCCCCTGGGGCTGCTACCAGGGGGTGTTGCAGCTGTGGGTGAGGGTCATGTAGCGGACGCCCAGACGGTAGAAGGTGCGCAGGACGCCCAGGCTGCTGTCGATGGAGTGGCCGCCCTCCACCCCAATGAGGCTGGCCACCTTGTTGCTCCGGAAGGCCTGGAGGATGCCTGTGGGATGGAGGGGGAAACATCAGCTGGGGGGTCCCTTAGGGCACCCCCATTCCAGCCCTGTGCCCGCTCACCATCACTGTCCCCAACGCAGGCGAAGGTATCGGGGTAGCGCTCGCACATGCGGTGCACCACGTCGATCTGCTCCAGCGTGCGCTTCACCGCGTCCTTGTTCTGCGTGTCACAGGGCACGTACGCCGACCAGAACTGTCCCCAGCAGCAAGCGGTGAGCACCGGGACCCTGCCACCCCATGGGGTCCCCAGTCCCACCCCATTGTCCCTGGTCCCCTCGCTGTCCCACCTGCCCCCCGACGTGCCCGCTGCGCAGCTTGGGGATGTTGGTGTGGGTGCCGTTGAGTGTCAGCAGGTTGGCCTCTGGCAGCCCAAGCTGGTTGTTGAACCTCTTGAGGAGCTGCCAGGGGAGGTCGTTGTGCCTGGGAAGGGGGGAGAAGAGTGAGGGGCTGTCCATCCATGCATGCATCCATCCATCCATTCCATCATTCCTCCACTCAATCATTCCATCCATCCATCCATCCATCCATCATTGACCTCCCCACCCGTTTGTGCCCTCTCCCAAAACCAGAGCCATGTTCCCCCGTTTTGGCCAGCAGGGAGCCGGAGGGAGGCTGGGGATGCTTCCCGCATCCCTCCAACCCCACTCGCACCGGGAGAGCCAGCCAGGATCCTGGCAGGAAATCACTGTCACCACTGTGGGAATGTCACCACCAGAACACGTCACCGCCGCACAGGGTCCCGCTCCCAGCAGTGCCTCTGGGGAAGTGCTGGGGCCGCAGCCTCCCACTTCTGCCCTCACTCATCACCGTCCCCACATCCTCCGGCTCCCCCTCTCCTGCACCCTGTACCCGGGGCTGGTACCATGGGGGAACCCTGTGGGGGATGGGAGCCTCTTGATGGTCCTGGCAAGACATCAGTGACATTCCCGAGGACACGACCCCGTGGGATCTGAGCAGGGACTCCCCTGGGACAGCCCCTGGCTTCCCGGCTCTCTGCCTGCTCCCGCTGGGCTGCACCTCCTGGGGATCCCCTCAGCATCACGGTCCCGGGGTGCCCGGCACGGGGATCCCCTGGGAGAGCTGTCCCCTCACCCCGAGGTGCCCGGCATTGGGATCCCCCCAGGGCCGTCCCCGGTGGGCTTTCTGGCTCTGGGGTTTTCTCACGGGGCAGACACACCGTGGGGCCGGGCAACCTTTGCTCACCCGTCGATGACCGGCGTGGTCCTCATGATGCGCTCGGCCTCCTCCCGGTGCTGCTGCCCGGCGCTGGGCAGGAGCAGGCGCAGCGCCAGCGCCAGCACCACCGCACTCCTGCCCGGCATCCTCGTCTGCTCGGCGCGGCTGGGGACGAGCCGTGGTGACCTGCCACCGCTGCTGCATGCACCGGCCATCCCCTCCCACCATCAATGAGTAACCAGGAGCCGCAGCCGTACCCTGCTCCCAGCCCTGCCACTGGGCACTGGGGTGCTGTGATGGTGGCTGCCGCAGCCCTCCTGGGTGGCAGGGCCTCTCGCATAGCTGTGGGAACGCTCCCGACCCCTCTAATGCAGCCCAGACTCTTCTTGCTTGCTCCCATCCCCGCCTTGGCCTCCCCAGTGCTGGCACCCCCAGCCCAGTGCTGGTACCCGACAGCATCCCAGCCGAGTGCAGGCATCACCAGCACCCTGACTACTGATGGGCAAGCCCCGGCACCCCTGTCCCCCACTCACCCCGTCCCCGGGACGCTCGAGCGGATGCTGCCTGTTACGGCTGTGAAATATGTTTTCCGCTTGCGTGCTGGCGGCGAGGCTGGGATGGGCTCCGGCCACCCCAGAGCCACCCCCCGACGTGGTGCCGGGGAGCGGCCAAGTGTCTGTGCACCCCGTGGCAATGTGCTGAGACCTCCCCGCCATGGAGGGGATGGGGGGCAGCAGCATGGCCCTGCCCTGGGGGTACCAATGGTGCCAGATGTGGGCCGGGCTCCCCCCACCCCATGGGCCCGCTGCAGCATTGTGGGGAGAACTCCAGGGCATCCCTGGAACCCACAGCACAGCGCCCGTGGTGGGGGCTCCAGTGTGGGGACACTGATGCTGCCGTGTCGTGTGTGGCAAGAGGCACTGCAGGGCTGCTGGGAATGGTGTGGACCCACATGGAAACCACCCTGCTCCTTGTCCCAGAGTGTGCTGGGATGGGAATCCCTGCCTCCAGCGCAGTGCCAGCCATAGGGACCGCGATGTGGGGCACAGTGTGGGGCTGGCACCGTGGCATGCTCTGACCAGCGAGGCTCCCATCACTCTTCCCACCTCCAGGTGAGTGAGGTGCCCTTTCCCCCCGGTCCTGCTGGCTGCAGTGCTGGGTCTGCCCATGTAGGACCCCATCCCATCCCGGGGGTAAACCAGTCCCGGGGCCACCCCGCCGGCAGCGCTCTCCCGGCGATGGCCCCAGCGTGGCCGGATCCGCGGCCCCCCGGCAGGAATGTGCCTCCCGCCCGCCGGGACAGCTTCCTCTTTTGCAACTACTTAAGGCTGGCTCCTGCAGCGGACCTGGCAGCAGCCGGGACATGGAGCGCATGGATGTGACCGAGACCTTCTCCGGCATCTCCCTGCCGGGGCACCTCCACACGCAGGAGTCTCTCAGCTTCGCCGTCACCTTCCCGTTCCGCCCCACCGACGTGGTCATCGCCACCTACCCCAAGTCAGGTGAGGGCTCGGAGGGCGCCAGCAGCGGTGGGGCACAGGGAGGGGACCCTGCTGGGTGTGCGGGGCGGTGGGGCACGGCTGGGACCCCCAGGCTGGGGCTGCTGCACAGCCCCGGCTCCCCGGCAGCACCGGGAGCTGCCTGTGCGGAGGGGAGGGAGCCGGGCACCTCGCCCCCCGGGGGTCCCACAGCCTTGTGGCCGCTGGGCACAGCGCAGGGACCCCCGGCCCCAGCCATGGGCTCCCTTACCCCAAAACACTGCCCTGTGGGGGCAGGCAGACGCTCCCTGCCCTGCCTCAGCCCGGTTGGCAGAGGGTCCCGTAGAGCACCGCTCTGTGCTGAGCCATGCCAGCCTGCACCATACGATGCTGTGCCATGCTGTGCCGTGGCACACCGCGCCGCGCCGCATGGTGCCCCTCACAGGGCTCTGACTCCCACGTCCGCAGGCACCACTTGGATGCAGGAGATCCTGACGCTGCTCTTCAGCCACGGGGACGTCCTCCCGGCCAAGACCATCCCCAACTGGGAGCGGGCGCCGTGGCTGGAGCAGGTCTACTTCAGGGAGGCCCTGCAGGACCTGCAGGACACGGCTGCGTGCAGGCTCATCACCACCCATCTGCCCGCCCGCATCCTGGCCCCTGCCCTGCAGCACAGCAAGGCCAAGGTGAGGGGCTGCGATGGGATGGGGAGTCCCCACGGGGGCTTCCAGCGGTTGTCTGAGTGGAACCCCCCCGCCGTGGGGCTGACACACACACACCCCCCCCCATAGGTGATCTACGTGGCCAGGAACCCCAAGGATGTCGCTGTTTCCTTCTACCACTTCCATCGCCTGGCCAAGTTCCTGCCTGACCCTGGATCCTTCGACAGCTTCCTCACGCAGTTCCTCGAGGGCACAGGTAAGGGCTGGGGAGCCCCCGCGGTGCTGGGGCTCACCCACAAGGGCTCCCCATCACCTCCTGCCTCCCCCAGTGCACTACGGCTCCTGGTTTGACCATATCAAGGGCTGGCTGGGCCAGCGGCAGCTCCTGGACATCTTCTATGTCACCTATGAGGAGCTGCACCAGGTGAGCCCCAGCGTGTCCCTGTCCCCATCCCCGTCCCCATGGCTGCCATGCTCTGACTGCCCCCCTCGCTGCAGGACCTGCGTGGCACCGCACAGCGGCTCAGCGCCTTCCTGGGCTGCCCACTGGAACTGGAGACGCTGGCAGCCCTGGAGCAGCACTGCAGCTTCACCGCCATGCGCGACAACGCCATGGCCAACTACTCCCTCATCCCCATCGAGATCATGGACCACAGCCAGGGATGCTTCATGAGGAAAGGTGAGGGGGACGGGGTGCAGGGGACATGGTGGGGACACGGCTGATCCTGCCGCCACGTCCCCTCCATCCCGCAGGCGTTGTGGGGGACTGGAGGGACCACTTCTCCCCGTGGCAAAACGCGCTCTTCAACCGCCTCTATCAGGAGGAGATGGGTGACCTGGAGCTGCCCATGCGCTGGTCCATGGCCTGATGGGCTTTGGGGAGCCAGGGGGTTCACTGCACCATGACACTGGCCCCCTGAGCCCTGCTGAAGGGGATGCAGCCTGCATGGGGACCCCCCCCCCCCAAGCCCCATGCACAGCCCCAGGGACCGGAGCTGGGGGTCTGTTGTTGGGGGGGCTGTCTGCATGGCAGCTCCCCGGGGATGGGGGCAGTGCTGGCTCCCCCCCGCGTTCCTGCCCTGGGGGGGGGGGTGTGTGTGCATGGCCATGACCTGCTTCCACCCCATGGAAATAAATATTTATTGCTGTTCCCAGCCCAGCATTCCCAGGGCGTGGGGCGGGAAGCGGCGAGCAGCAGGGTGGGGAACCCATCCCAAGGGATCTTGGTGCAGGAGGCAGTGGCCAGGTGGGCAGTGCAGGGGCAGCACAGCATGGATCTAAGGTGCTGGTGGAGCCCATGGCACAGAGCTGGCTCCTTCAGCAGCACCCAGGGCTGCCAGGGTGCACCCTCTGCCCCCCATCCCTGCCCTGGTGCACCCCACATGATGCCTTTGGGCCCTCCCCTCCCTCCGGGTGTGTTTGCACCCAGAGATTGTGACCACACCACCCCAGCACCCTGAGCACCCCTAGCCCGTGTCCTGCCGTGCTCCAAGGAATTGCCGTTATCAAAGCACTTGGGAAGCGCTGGCACTGTCAATAATTAACCCCTGGCTTAATTAACCATCACCCACTGGGTCCCTGTGGCACTGTGTCGGGGAGTGGGGGCTGAGTGCTTGGCCCCAGCATGAGCAGACCCCTCGACAGGGCTGCACCGAGCTGCGTGCAGGCAATGAGACCCTCAGTGGGGCTCTGTCACTGCAGCCTGGTGGCACCGTCTCCCTGCTAACCTGGCCACTGCTCCCCACGCTGGTGGGTGCATCTACGGTGACATTGGGCACCCCCTATCCCCATGGGGTCCTCCTGCGCCCGCCGGTGGGGCACCCATGGATTGAGGTACCAGGTCAGCCCCCTGCCCACACTGAGCCGCAGCTAGCGCAGCTCATCAGGCGCTGGGTTTCTATGGCGACGTCTATTATCCTGCTCCGTAGGAGATGAATCAGGATCTATAAATACACGGGTGGACGGGGAGGTGCGGGCAGGGTGCTCTGTGCCAGGGTGCCAGTGGCCGGCACAGTGGGCAGCACGGCTGTGCTGGTGGATGGGTGAGTGGCTGGTTGGCTGGGGGCAGGCTGGTACCTCTGGTGGCAGCAGCATCCCCAGTGACAGCAGCATCCCCGGCCTGAGCCCAGTGATGCTCGCATGGCTCTTGGGTGGCCACTGCCCCAGGCCCCAGTTTCAGTTGCTATAGTGGCCTTGGGTCACACCCCAGCCCATACAATGTCACCTGCCGAGGAGCATCTGCTGGCACCGGGACAGCGACACGCAGCGCGTAGCATGGTGTGAAGGGCACATGGCACGGTGCACACAACACGTGCCAGGAGGTGAATGGCACACAGTGAATGCACCCGGCTTTTGGTGCAGCAGACGGGGCACAGCGCTTGGTGCGCTGCACATAGCACAGTGTGGCACATGGCGTGCAGCACATGCAACGCAGCACATGACACACAGCACATGGTACATGGGGTGGCGCACAGTGTAACATGGAGCACATACGATGAATCATGCAGCAGGTGACACATGGCACATGAAAGAGGGCATGTGGCACATGGAGCATGACACATGGCACACAGCACATGGTACAGCACATTGGCACAGTGCATGGCACGCGGTATGCAGCACATAGTAGAGTATGCAGCACGTGGCACACAGTATGACATGCAGCACAGGGCACATGGGGTAGCATGTGGTGCAGCATGGAGCACACACACAGCAGGTGGCACAAGGCATGAGGTACGTGGCACATGGCACACAGCACATGGCATGTGGGTCACAGCACACAGGTCATGGTACAGCATGCTGGCACACGGCATTGAGCACAGCACACGGCATGCAGCATGCAGCATATGGCATGTGGCGTGTGACATGGGTAGGCAGCACATGGCGGAGTACATAGCACATGGCACAGAGCACAAAGAATGCATGTATGACAGGGAGCATGCAGCACATGACATAACATGGGACCCATGGCACACAGCATGGCGCATGGCACATAGCCCCTGGCATGTGGCACACGGCACACGGCACGTGGTGCACATCACACAGCACACGGCACGTGGCTCTCGGCAGAGGCAATGTGCTGGGCAGGGGCAGGAGCAAAGCGCCGGCGCTGCCTCCACTGCCGTGGCCTGGATTTCGGGGCCGCGGCACAGCGGGATGGACGGTGGCTCCACACAACTTGAAAGCAGCGGCTGCTCAAAGGCACGTCAGCGTGAAAGCGCCGGCACTGCCCTGCAAGCTGCCAGTCACGAATCCCACTAAATATAGGGGCAGACGGGGACAGGGCCACGTTCAGCTCTTGCCTGACGCTGGGCAGCACAGTGAGGGGCATGAGAGGACATGGACAGCACCACAACTGCTGCCTGTCCCTTTGCCCGCACCACACAGATCGCCTGGAGAGAGGTTTGGTGTCAGAACCCAGAGAGCACGTAGCACGAACACAAGGCCGGTTGCTTTATTGGGGGGTCCCACACACCAGGGTGGTGGTGGGGGGGTGTTGTCATGCAGCCTCCAAACGATGTCACAGCAACAGACGAGCAGGGACTGAGAGGACCACAAGGGACAACAGGGACCAAGCAGAAACAGGCAGGGAGGTGCTGAGCACCGGGAGTGGGCAATGCCGGCCAGGGAGTCCTGCACCAGGGCACCGGGGCTGTCCCCATATCCCCATAGCCAGTGGGGACAGGCTGCTGGCTCCCAGTGCCCCCTGGCTCGGTGAGGAGGGGGCTAAAGCAGGGCTGGGGTATGGCAGGGACCCTGTCAGTCCCCACACCACAATGGGGGGGCTCACTGGGGGGAGCTGAGGTTGGAGTCAGGGGTCTCTGAGCGGGGGCAACGCGGGGGGAAGGCCTTGTAGCTGTAGTATTCCACAACCTGCTTGGGCACCTCCGCCAGCACGCACTTGGCCAAGGCTGTTGGAGATGCCTGTGGGATAGGGGACACCAGGGACATGGGTGAGCCGGGGGCACCACAGCCCCCAGTGTGCAGGGCAGCATCCATGGCTTGCTGTGCCGTGATGCTTGGTGCTGCCATGGGGAGGGGTGGGGTGGGGATGGGAGGGACAGGAGGGTCCCCAGTGCCCCACTCACGTTCTTGAACTCCCGGAAGGGGACGAACTGGACGATGTCCCGCAGGACGGGCTCGCCCCTGGGGGAGCGCAGGATGCCGTCATCCCCATCCAGGATCTGCATGTCAGTGAAGTCGGCGTTGCCCACCCCGACGATGATGATGGACATGGGCAGGTAGGAGGCGCGGACGATGGCCTCCCGCGTGTCCGCCATGTCCGTCACCACTCCGTCCGTCAGGATCAGCAGGATGAAGTATTGCTGCGGGGAAAGGGAAGCTCTGGGGTGGGGTGCTCAGCCCCACTGCCAGCCCCATGCATGGGGGCAGGACAAGGGCTTGGCTCTGATGTTAGAGCAGCCACAAGTGGCGTGAGCGTGCGAGGTCTCAGCCCAGCAGAGAGACAGTGGCTGGGGACAGCGGGTACGTACCGAAGCCTCCTTGGTCCGCTCCTCGTTGGCCGCCACACGAGCCACCTTGGAGATAATGGGGGCCACGTTGGTGGGGCCATAGAGCTGGATTTTGGGCAGGCAGCTCTGGTAGGACTCCACAACGCCCTGGATGCCTGGGAGGGAAGTGAGGGATGAGAGAGGATGTCCCTGCAGCACGGGGCTCCAGCACAGCGGGGCCATGGAACCAGCCTGTCCAGAGCTGGACTCACCCTCACATTCATCGTTATCAGGGTTGAAGTTGATGGCAAAATCATGGGAGACCTGGAGGGGGAGAGGGGAGGGGGCAGCCAGTGCCCCCCCGGCTCCTGCCTGGCCCCACGGGAGCCATGGCCAAGGGTGCAAGGAGGGATAAGCACATCCCTGGTGTCCCACCACACAACCACCCCCTTACCTCATACTTGGGGGGGATCCTTGCACCAAAGCCCAGAGCTGAGAATTTCTTATCGCTGCAAGGGAAGGGGTGTAAGGAACCCCGGCAATGTTAGCACCGGGGTCACCAGCACCGGGGACTTGCTGGAGCAACCGACCTGTCGTAGTCCTGGCAGATCTCTCCCACCGCGACCAGCGCCTTGAGGTACTCGTTGGGCTGGTAGGGGTTGATGTAGTGCAGGGAGCAGCTGTTGCGGGGGTCCCCATTGGAGGCGGTGAAGTCGATGGCCACCTGCAGAGGGGATGGAGGCCAGGACCCCCGCAAGGTCGGGTGACTCTGCCAGCCCGACCCTCCGGCACCGCAGCACAACCATGGCTCGGGCACCGGCCGGAGCCTGCCCCCTGGTGCTGCAGGACGTGGGATGCTGCTCACCGTGAAGTGGATCTGGCAGCCGCCCATGATGTAGTCCAGGAAGGAGTAGACCCTGTGGATCTTCCATAGGGACCCGCGTCAGCCGGGCCTGCCCCGCGCTGCCCCACGGCAGGTGGGTATGGCACAACTCGGCACGGCACAGCCTGCACACCGGCACTCACCTTCAGGTCCAGCAGCACCACGACTCCCGAGTTCTTGTAGTTGCGCTTCTTGATCTTGTACTTGGGGTTCATGCAGTCCCACTGCACCTGCAGCACATTGCACCCGTGCTGCCTGAGGCCCCACACACCCACGAACATGCACCCACAGCCCCATAACCCCGCAGCCTCACAAACCCAGGGCACAGCTGCCTTCCTTCACCCTCAGCCTGGGGGGATGCAGCTTTCCCAAAGGAGAACAAACCCACCATCCGTTCCCCAAAGAGAGGGTCAGCAAGAGAACAACCCCAAACCAACCCCTTGCACAGAGGGAAGACCCCACAAGCTGCCCCCACATCCCCTCACCTCTGTGCCTACCTTGTTCTCCCCCATCGCTTTCTGCATCTCCTCGAAGGTGGTGAAGAACTCGCCAATGAAGTCATGTTTGCCGCGCGAGTCGTAGTCCCACACCACGCACTGCACCAGGACACAGCTCATCCATGGCTGGGCAGTGCACCCCAGACTGCACCCAGCCCTGGCACTGACCCCCCACCATTCCCAGTGCTTTGGGGTACACGTGCCCCAGGATTGGGGGTCCCCATTGCCCATCCTCACCCTCAGCTTCCTCTTCTCCTCGCAGCTGCAGAGCGAGTTAAGAGAGACCTTGAAGGGCTCCCATACGGGGCTCAGGTTGTTCTTCACCACCTGCGGGGCAAGGGGCTCAGTGGGGCTGGGCAGTGGCTGCGGGCCAGCCGTGGGTCGGGTGCTGCCCAGCCTCACCTCCGTGCGATACACGAGCTGCTCGCTGCGGTCGTCGTCGATGCGGTAGATCTCCAGGAAGGGATCCGACTTGCTGAAGAGGTCCTGGAGGAGGGAGCATGGGGTAGAGCCCGCGCTGTGCCCTGCCCACCCTGCTCCCTGCCGCGGGACCCGGCTCACCTTGTCATCCAGCTTCTTGGCCCTGAAGGCGAGCTCCACGTACCCGTTGTTCCCCGAGATCTCCTCCGAGATCACCTGCGAGGAGAGGCAGCCACAGGATGCACTCCCCGCCTGCAGGGGCAGGGTGCTACCCAGCAGGGGACACAGTGCCATCTGCCTGCCCTGGCACGGTGGGCACCCCCAGGGTGACAAACAAACATCAGCAGGACCCTGAGCCCTCCCCATGCCTGAGAGCCTGGTGGGCTGCAGGGCTGGCTGACAGCTGGAAAAGCAGGAGGGACACTGGGGACCCCCCATATGCCCCAGCTTGGGGTCACCCTCCCTAACTCAGTGCCACCCATGTGCCCCATTCTGATGCCACCCCAGGGTCCCAGCTTGGTGCCACCCATGCATCCCATGGTGCTGCTCACCGTGATGGTGGACTTGCCGGCGAACTTGCCGTACTTGAGGAACAGCGGCTTTGTCACCCTCTTCTGCGCCACGATCTGCAAAAGCCGAGGGATCGGGTTGGGGACACCACCGGTGCGTGTCCCTGGGGTGGGGGCCGCCAGCTCACCTGCCCCACGGTGCACTCCATGCCCCCCAGGAAGTCATCGTCGTGCGTGCCCACGCCGGCGTGCCCGTGGCTGTCGTACACCTCAAACCGCAGCTTCTGCACCTCCTCGAAGTAGTAATCCACCGTGAAGATCTTGGCGAACACGGGGTTGAGGTTGCTTTTGATGACCTCGCTGCGGTCCACCTGCATGGAGGGAGCTCGGATGGGGGGCAGCGGGGACACAGGGATGGATATGGGGCCACAGGAGCTGCCCAAGGCCTTGGGACATCAGAGCTTGTCCAGGGCTAGGGTTAGCTCAGGGATGCAGACATGGCCAGCTGCCGGGAAGGACCAGCCTTGCACATCCACCAGTTTCCATGCAAACAGCATTTGGAGGCAGCCCTGTTTTTGGCTCGGGCAGGGATGCCTGTGCCCTGCCAGGTCTCAGGTTGTGAAGCACTGCTCCCTTCAGGAACCAGGGTAAACCCCGTGGTCAGTTCAAGGGGATGCTCTGCCTCTGGACCACAGTTTGCCGGAGCTCCAGCCAAGTGGGAGCAATGAGTTGGTGCCCAGCACAAGCCCCTGTGCTAATACCCTGGGCTGGCCGAAGGCAGAGGTACCAGTCACCGGTCACCATGGCCGTGGCAGGCGGGGGGTGCTCAGCATCTCTGGCTGTGCTGGCACCAAGCACTGAGCGCCTTCCAGGAGCCTCCCGCACATCCCATCCCTGCAGCGCTGACTCAACGGGACACATCCTGGCCAGGGCACCTCGCCAACCTCCGTCCCCTGCCCACCACCCGCCTGGAACAGCAGCATCTGCTGAACCCACACCATCCGGACCCCATGGGCACCCTCTGAGGTGGGGTGGCCAAGGCACAGCAGGTCCAATCCGGGCAGCACTGCACCTACAGCCCCATCATGGGGCTTTGGGCCACCTCAGCGCCTCCGGTGCCATCCGTAGCGTGTCAGCATGTGTGGAACATGGCATGGCACACAGTGCAGTGCACAGGGCGCAGCTGGCTCGGCTGGGCATGGCACAGCCTGGCACGGGGCCCCTTGCAGCCCACCCTGGCTCCAGCTCTGGCTCCGTCGAGCAGAGTCAATTACACGCAGAGGGATTTAGCGCTCAATCTGCCGGCTGAGCAGCGGCGATTAGCAAGCGTGGAGCTGCCGGAGCCAGCACGGAGCTAATCCGTGGGGAGTGATGGGAAGGAGCCATCCGGGCCCCAGTGCCAGCACCAGCACGGGGACCCCACAGTGCAGTGCAGTGAGGGGCACACGGCTGCAGGGCCCCCCCTGACCTCACTCCGAGCTCCCTATCCTGGTCCCGAGCACAGTGAGACCAGCGCAGGGGTGACCAAGGTGTCCCTTAGTTCTGCCCCAGGGCTGTGGTGCTGTGCTGGAGGCATGCACTGAGCACCCCATTGCCTGACCCTGCCAGAGCCCCACAGCCTTACTCTGACCGAGATGCCTGCGCTGTCCCCATGCACTGTGATGGTCCCACAGCACCCTGCCCTGCCCCGTGAGCTTCTCTGCACCTTGCACCCTGCTCCCTGCACCCGGCACTGTGAGCTTTGCACCTTGCAGTCAGCATCCTCTGTGTGCACCCTGCTCCCCACCATCTCACCCTGCACCCTCCTTCAAGCCCTGCACCATGCTCTGAACCCTGCACTCTGCTTCAAGCCCTGCACTGTGTTCTGAACCCTGCACCCTGCACCCTGCCCTGTTCTGCACAATCTCCTGCACCTTGCTCTGTCTGCACCCTGTTCACCATTTCTTGCACCCTGCCCTGCACCCTGCACTGTTCTCCAACATCTCCTGCCCTTTGCATCCTGCTCTGTAGCCTGAACCCTGCTCTTTACCCTGAACCCTACTCTCCATCATCTCCTGCACCCACCACACTGGCTCCTGCCCCATCTCCAGCCCCATGGGCATTGCAGCCACCCTGGAGCTGCTCCAGGGACAGCACCATCACCTGTGTGGTTCCCGTCGCAGTGACACAAACCCTGTGTCCAGCACCCTGCAAGTCCCCAATGACAACCAGCCCCTGCCCCGCTGCAGTGGGTGCTGGCGGAGCCCCCCACTCTCCTACCTCCGTCCACTGTCCCTGGGACTGCATCAGCAGCAGGACGCAGGGGTCAGACTTGTTGAGCGTGTCGCGGTCCAGGAGGTGCTTGCAGCTCACCCGCAGCTCCACCTTGGAGAGCACGGCCAGCGAGGCCTGCGGGGACGGCTCGTGCCCCTCACCCATGGTGCCCATGGGGCGCTGGGGGGCCAGGCGAGATGGGGGGCAGGCGGCTCCGTGGGAGAAGGGCATGTGGGGGGCAATGGGGCGGCTGCTGCCTTTGCTGCTGTCAGGGAGCTGTGCAGGCACCCGTCATGCCCGGGGCACGCTGCCCCACGGTGCCAGGCCTGTGGGGTCTGGCAGGTCCCTGGTGCGTTGGTGGGATGCTCTGGTGTGTGGAGGGGACCCTGTTTGAAGTGGGGGGCTGGTTCCAGTCCCAGGGGCTCCACAGAACCCTGCAAGACATGAAAGCACAATGAGGTGAGCTGGAGCTGGGTCACCCTTCGTGATGCTGCCCTGTACCCCAAAGCACCAGCCTGCCCCATGGGTGCTGCTGTGTCCCCAGTCACCCAACAGCACCTTGAGCTGAGCAGGGGTGCCTAGCTCTGCTTGAGCCCCACTGAGGGGCAGGATGAGCACCCAAGTGGGGCTGTGAGGCTGTGCAGGAGTGGGGGTGACCATTCCGGTGCTGGGGAGCACAAACACCCCTCCAGTCCCTGCAGGCAGTGGGGACACCAGATCCTTGTCCATGCTGCTGGGCAACACTGGCAGTGCTGGCCACATCCTGCTGCACCAGACAGGGCTCGTGGCACTTGGGTTATGGGGGGACTTCCCCTGTGCTGGGGACAGGGGCCACGCTGCACCTCGATGCTGGTGATGCTCAGCCAAGTGATGCTACAATGAATGGTCGTCAAGGGGCTCTGCCAGCCCCAGCCCCCTGGTGCTGCCTGCCTTGGGCAGAGTCTGGGTCAGAGCAGCCCTCCTGCCATGCCCCAGCACGCCCAGCTCAGCCAAAGCTTCCCAGCGAAGCCATGCACACAGCACAGGCAACCCAGCACATGGTGCTCCAGCTCCAGAGGGTACCGTCCTCCTCCCCAGGACCACAGGCACCCCTTGGCTACCCCCAGTGGAGAGGGCACCGGATCCCACCCTGCCCGGCCGAATCCCCTCACCTGGGTGCCGGTGCCTTGGTCTTTGCAGGGGTCTGGGGTCGGTGTGCCAGCCGGAGCCGGTGTGCCAGCCGGAGCTGCCGCCGCTGCCACCTCCACACAACTGACTCAAGCTGCAGCTCGGGAGCGAAGCCCTAAGAGGGAGATGACAAGCTCCGTTAACTGCCTCGCTGCCGGCTCCGGCGCAGAGCCCACCAGCAGGCGCCGTGGCTCAGCGGGGTCCCCAGCACCGGAGGCCGTGCCAGGACAGATGCTCCCGCTCCAGGCGAGCTCCCAACACACAGCCCACGCTTCCAGCACCCCACAGCTGCTCCCCATGGGGTGCCCAGGGCCCATCCTGGGTGCAGCCCCACACACTAACAGCCCAGTGCAAGGATGGGGAGCCCCAAACCACTGGGTGCATTCCCCACGTGCTGGAGCACTCAGACCCGTACCCCATCACCCCCCACTCCCTCCCCCAAGCACCCCAGATCCTTGGTGCTGCCAGCTCGGCTTTATGAAATATAATTAGCCCATATTTGGAGGGATTAAAATGCAGATAGGGCTAATGAGCATGAGGGCCCTGGGTTTTGGGAGCTAATCCCCAGCCTGCATGGCAGAAATAGGCCACCCTGCTTCCCTGCAGCCCCATGCCGCAGCCAGGGAGGGACTGGGCAGAGAGAGGCCCATGCTGGGCAGACCTTGCAGGGTGTTGGAGCACCCTCGGGTCCATCCAGCTGTGCTGGAGTCCCTGCACTGGAGCACTTCATCGCTTCAAAGCCCCAGGTTTCTGTCACCGACCTGCTGATGAGAATGAATGATTCCATTGTCCTGGCACTCACAGCGCAGTCAGGCTGCGGAACAGCCCCAGAACTGGTCAGTCAGCAAAGAGGAGCTCCCTGGAGCAGGACCGACTCCACAACCCTGACCATGACTCAACCATCCCCTACCCTGCAGCACACAGTGCCCAGGAGGCCCAAAACACCCATGAGGACAGGCCATAAGCCCCAGACCCTTCTACCGGGCAGGGCTGGGCTCCTCTTCAATGCCATCCATTTATTTCCCTAAGAAACTGGCTTAAAGATTCAGATAAACAGAAGCCAGGGCAGGGCTAGTTAGGCTGGCTATGGCTGCAGCACATCTTTACCCTCCCCAAGCACTGTTAAGACCAGGGTGAGGCTTGTGGGGCAAGTGACTGCTGAGCCCTGAGGGGTGATACCCACCAACTGCTCTGCCTCACACACAACTGCACTGAGAGCTGTGGACACCATCAAATCTGAAGTGATTTAATGGGAAGCAGGCATCGCACCAGGGAGGTGGGTTCCCCCAAAATCCCCCCCTCACAGTGCTCCATGGGGGCAGACCCACTGAGGGGTGGGAGAGAGCACAGGCTGCAGCCCTGCAGAGCGAGCAGAGCCCTCCCTGCAGGGTGCTGGTTCCACTCGCTTCCAGGGAAGTTGGGAGTCTCATCACCACCATCCGCACCAACACACACACCCGCTGCAGAGCGGGGTGGCTCTGTTCCATACGTTTGCTCTGAAAAGACAGCACACTCGTGTCTCCACATTTTTTATTGACAGCTCATTTCTTCTTCTCCACATCCTGCTCTGCCGCCTCTTTGGCGCGTTTCGCGCGGATGCCGAAGAGCCGGGCATTGGCTCGAGCCATGCGCAGGCTGGCGAAAGCCTTGAAGTTCTTTTCATCTTCCGAGATAACACGAGCCTTCTCCCGCTTGAAAACCTGATGGAGAGAGCACAGTCAGTCAGGCTGCACACCAGAGCCTCCCAGGGACCACGTTCAAAGCTCAACACAATTAATCTTGCTCTGTTTCCATCACTCGCTCTGTGGTGCTGTGAACAGAGCAGTTGTGCCATCTACAGGCCCTGCCCTCAGCATCACTCAGGCACCCCGTTTCAACCCATTCCTGATTTGCCAGAACATACCAGGGAAAAAAACCCCACCAAACAAGCCCAACATGGGATCTGAGTCAGGTGTGTGGTGCTAACACACACCAGCAGCGCCTTTTGGAAGCAGCAGGGGTCTGAGGCAAGTGCTGACTACACGTGATTATTTCCAACCAACGCATCGGAACCCCTGACACTGGAGCTTTCCTCCAGAACACGATTTAAGGACCTTCTCAGCTGATTTAAGTTCAGCAGAGCTCCAACAAATTAGTTCTTTGCAGTCTGCTTTGCAACAGTGAGGAAATAAACAGACCAAGGTACTTGTGGCTAAAGGCAGGGATGAGGTTGACCTGTTGCTTCTTTTCTTTGCCCCAAAACGGGGAGTGTCTGGAGACAGCAACCCCGAGATGCAGAACAGCAGGAGAATCCTCTCCATGGAGCTCAAGTCTCAATTATCACACAGAAAACATGATTTTGCCACACTTACATTCTTGATTGGCATGACAGGTCCAGTCAGCTGAGTTGCCATCTTGAGTTCCTCAGCCTATGGAACAAGAAGACAAAACCCATCATCAAAAAAGCAGCATTTAAAACCCCTTGGGCTGGCAGCTGGGTTAGAAGCGTGCACTGAGCACCAGTACCCAGCTCAATGCACTGTTAACAACTCTGACCGGAGATTTAACACTGACTCATAACAACTTCAGCATTTCAGGAGCATTTGGCACAGCCGTGCCGCATCGACAACCCGTGCTCTGCCTGGCTATCCATCAGTGCGGATCTGCCCAGAAGGGCAGTGGCCTTCTAGGAGTCCTGCCAGCTGGAAAAACATTGACATCTACTGTGCCGGTTTTAGTCTGATACCAGTATGTTCTGCAGCAATTCCTTCTAAGGATAACTCTAGCTACTTGTAAGAGTGTGCTGTGAAACAAAAATGATTCAAGTTTTGTTTTAGATAGCTGATTTCAAGTAATGACATTTGGAACAGTATTTCAGCATTTATCTATTGGCAAAGGAGCTTCATGCCCTTCCTCCCATTTCAAAAAAGCCTCCTGAGTGTGGTGGGCTCTGCTGTGGGTGACTGGCTCAAAACTGACTCTCCAGGCTGAGCACACCACTGTTTCCCATGGGAAGGACATACCATGGGCAAAGCCAAGGGACCAACCATACTCTGTATCTTGGTGGGATTTTAATGGAAACACTTTTGTGAGTCAACAGCAACAACTTTCTAAACTCTCCTGCACATGGCCTTCACTGAACTACTCTACTGAAGAGTTTGCCCTTGGTTTCCCCTCACTTTCCAAGGCAGACCAGAACTCCATGCCGACTTTTCAGCTACTCTGACTATACAGCATCATAGTCTAAAGTCAACTGGTTGGGCAATGACCAAAGCTCCCAAAAGATCACCCAAGGGGTCAGGCCCCACATCCGAGTGCTTCCTTCAGCACCCTGGCAGTCCCTAGTTCAACACTGCCTGACCACAGAGCACTGGGATGGGCAGACTGACAATCAGGAACAGACCCTGGGAAACTGTGGACCAGATGACCTTTGAAGGGTCCTTCCAAACAAAACTATTCTGTGGTTCTAAACATCTGTAGCAGCTAACTACTTACAGAGCTGTCTCCCTTCTTCGGCATAGCCGGCTTCCTTGGGAAGAGGATAAGCTTGGAGTGGTACTCCTTCAGCCTCTGCACGTTGGCTTGCAGGGACTCTGTGGACTTGTTACGTCGCCGGGGATCCACAGAGATTCCAATAGTCCGGGCAAACTTTTTGTTGATGCCAGCGAGCTGAAGAGAAAGTAGAGTGTGTGGTGTCAGCATCCGACAAGCCCCAGTGCCACTGCCGGGAGCTGCTCTGGTCATCAACCAGAGAATCATTCAGGTGCAGTCATCAGGGCTGCAGAGTGTGGAGAATCACATCTAACCAAGCATCCTATTGGCAGTGTGAGGGTGAGGCACAGGGACCCAGGTGTCACAGGCAGTGGGCACCAGGGTGCCTGTGTTTTAGTGCTGAGAATGTTCCACTGAATTTACAGTGTTTTTTTACAGTGGGATTTCCTCAGGAGAGCAAAGCACAACCCCTGAGTAATCACAAGGGGGACATTTAAACTCTGATACATGCAAGACACTGCCCAGATAGCTCTGGTTCACCTCACACAGTAATCTCCAATAAAGGAGTATTTGTTGTAACCCTCTTAAGCAAGAAATAACTTCATCTTCTGTTTAAAAACAACTTCACTGCTTCAATGCGCTGATTTCACTGTTAAAAATGTGTTCATTAAATGCTAAATAACGCACAAGAGGCAGCTGCGGGCCGCCAGCAAGCCCTGATGATTATTTCTGCCCACTGTGAGGAGATACATGGGTGGGAGTTCCACAATCCAGCTTTAACTGCTCATCAGCTCAGCGCATCTGGGAAGGACACAGGAAAAGTTCCTGAATCCCACAGGATTTACAGTGTTCCTAAACCAACTCATAGCTACTGCACGGAAAATGGTCTCATGCATGTGAAGCTATGGTGCACAGGTCCCTGTCCTGGCAACATTACCTTCTTGAAGTAAGATGAACATGGTTTATTCTGTCCACAACAGGAACAGATTCATGTTGGGTTAACATTTTTGGGATTAGCAGAAGCATGTTTCAAAATAACAAAAGAATTTAATGAAGAGATTTTTAGTCTTTCACTCCCTGAAAGAAGCTGAGGAGACTCAACAAAGGCTCTTCCAGAGCCTTCAGAAAAGGACTTTAACAATGTGACCAGGCAAAAGGACATTTACTATTCAAAGCCACCCTTCACTCTGACACTGCATCGCCACCCCCTGGTTAAAGGAAAGGCAAGACCAGTGTTTTCTGTGCTCCTGTAGAGCAGCAATTCTCCATGTTCCCCATAGCTGAGCCAGTGCCACCAAATACTGACAGCTTGGCACACGTTCTATAGATGGAAGAACAGGCCAAGACAAGAAGCTCCAACGTGGAGTGAATTTCACTGGGTTGGGATCAGCGTGCTATACTTACCTTAAGCTCTTCCAGGCTGAAGCCTCTGCCAGCACGGACTTTTTTGTGGTACCTGATAGTAGGGCACCTCACTATAGGCCGAATGGGCCCAGCCACAGGACGGGGAGCGATGCGTCGAGCCCTCGCCTGACGGGCCTTCCTCCTGGAATGTGAAACGGGACAGGGATGAGAAACACAAATCAAGGTATCACAGACCGGTTTGTGTTGGAAGGGATCTTAAAAGCTCATCCAGCTCCAACCCCTGCCAACGGCAGGCACCCCTTCCACTGGAGCAGCTTGCTCCAAGCCCCTGTGTCCAACCTGGCCTTGAGCACTGCCAGGGATGGGGCAGCCACAGCTTCTCTGGGCACCCTGTGCCAGCGCCTCAGCACCCTCACAAGGAAGAGCTTCTGCCTAAGAG